TTCGGTTTTTTCTTTGCTGTTTTTTTCTTTCGTTTCTTCGTGTCTTTGTTTTGTTGTGTTTCTTTTTCTGTGTTTCCTGTCTGCTGCTCTTTTTGTTCGAGGTGACGGCCGAGGGGAGGCAGCGGGGAAAGCGGCAGGTGCTCAGAGGGAGTCGAGGGGGCGGGGTGGGAATGTACGTCCATTGATACAGCAATAGCAGTCAAAAGGGGTCTACCGGTACATCACGCTTTCAAATGCGCACGAAGGCGACGCCTTCACACGAGAGTTGGGGAAGATCTGATGAGACCAGGCCCAGTAGAACTCGCTGCATCAGCAGCAAGTCTCAAAAGCTACGTTTTTGGGTGTCGATTGCCCCCACAACACAAGCAGATTCAAAAACGACCCGCCACACAAACCGGCTTGTTTCGGCCCGACATTGCTCTGTTTGCTGCGTCATCGTCTGTTCATCGAAATTCACACAAAACCTGCGCACCTTGTGTCCATCGGCCCCCTCAAGTATGCTGGTAGCAAACTGCGGCTGGTTTCCCGCGAAAAAAATGTCCGGGCATTCCTTTCGGACGAGACAAGAGCACGGGGTTTCCGCCGAGAAGAAAGAGGCGGCGTTGAGAGAAGGACGGAGGGCGGTGTTCTCAGTCAATTTCTGGACCTGATAGAAAAACTGATGGAAACAAGTCGAGGGGGTGTGTGTGTGCAACTAGAACGCAAGAATATGGGGAGGTAGAAGAAGAGGACGAGGGGCAAATGCTGCTATCCATGACCTCGCAACAAAGGCCGCAACTGCCATGGCTCACAAGGACGGAAAAAGAAGACAAGTACTGCTGCAGACGAACATTACAAGCGCGGCCGAAACACGAGACTACCCATGAATTAATTCATTGCCATATTTGTCCCGGACTCCAATCCGTGGATAGAGACAGATTCGCCGAATTATTTTGGAAACAAACAACAAGAAACGAACGCAGAGAGTGCGGCAACAAACAGCCCACCTCGACGACGAAGGGGTCCTCCGTTACGAACGGGTAGCAGCCCAGCGTCTCCGGCGCTGTCGGCGCCATGTGCCTCCACTTGAGCATCTCCTCCAAACGTCGGAGGCACGCGGGCTTCGCGTCTACGCCGCGAGAGAGACAAGCGCGCAAGACAGAGTGGGGGGGAGACGCATGGAGAATCTGGACGGGGGGGCGATCAGACGGGAGGGGGCGCGTGGGAGAACCTACCATCCGTATGCAGGTGTTCTCTACATCGCACCCGGGCCAAGATGACACCAAAAGCTACCATTTAGCATTACCCATGAAATCAATACTAGTCCCCATTCCAAAGTGACACGTGCAATTATTTCATCCCAGCCTATGCAGATACCTTTGTCGGCCTCAGCTTCTGGCGTGGTGTATCTCGCCATGTCGAGGAGCGGCTGGCCGGAGCTGCCCAGGAATACTCTCTCCCCGATCTTGGCCTCGTGGGGGTTCGTTACTCTCTGTCGCCGTGGAGAGGTGGGGGGGTGGGGGAGGTGTACTCGTGTAAACGCATGCCGTAGTCGGCAGACCGTAGTCCTCGCATCCCTACGATACCGGGACGCATCCCTACCATACCGGGCGGAGGAGCGATATACCGGGCTTCGCCGTTACTGAAGGATAACTCAGAAGCTGGTCAGGGTGGGGGGGTAACTGCACTAACACACGCTTTGTCCAGCGGTAGTGGTTTTCCACGGGGCATGAAATGCTCACGAGGCGACTACATATCGTCGCGAAAAATTTGACCAAGAAGTGCATCACATGAACCAAGAAATGCGGGCATTGCTCACAAAAAACGTTTCCGCACTTCCATCTCGACCCATCACTACCAACTACTGCTGTCGCACGCACCTTCAGTGCGCCGAAGCGGCTAGCGTTCCTCAGCAGACACGGGTGCAAAGGCTGCTGCGGCAGGGTGTAGTTGGCGGGATCGCTCTCACCTGAGGCCAAACAAGCGTCACAACGGAGGGTGGGGGGGGGGGGGAGTCTGTGATTTCGTAGCTTAAACTTGTACCACACACCGCGCATCCGTTTCGAGACGGAGGTTCGGCAGAAGACATGTACCATTGAGGAAAGATCGAAAGTTCTCCACAAAGAGGGGGGAGACGCGGGGGGGGGGGGTGCTCCACACGCGATGTATTCCTAGGTCGTCGCTTTCTCGTGCGAATATATTGTCACGAATCATATACCAGTTAACCAAGCAAGAAAGAACATGTATTGTATGATACACCAAGTTGCTCTTCTTCGTGTTCTTGGACAAAAAAGAACACGAGCGAATGGGGTTATACTCTCCTCTTGCAAACAAACTCGTAAATCGCAGATGCAAGAAGCATTCCACAAGGAAACGTGACACCTGCTCGAGAGCTGGTAGCGGCGCCATCGAGATCAAGCGCAACGCGAGGATTGATTCTCCCGCTGATCCAGGGGGCCACGCAGACCGAAAAAATTGTTCCGGTTTCAACAAGATATCAGGCCGTTTTCTTCCACTCACTGCAAAGTCTTCAACTCATCTCCTTCGACTACTGTTATATCTCGACCAGGTAGTCTCTCTTGTGTATATTTTCAAAAAGAAAACTCAGTCAGCCGAGAGAGAGAGAGAGAGAGAGAGAGAGAGAGATGTCGGTCGCGCGAAGAAAGCTGAAAGTCGGACCCGACCGTGGGTGCTTCGTGCTGCTGCATTAAATCCGTACTCGGCGTCGACCTGCAGAATACCAGTACCCTCTACACGGTTTAAAAATATAGGAGAATATTTTTGTAATTATTAAGGAGCAGTCCTTAATGTTGAACAAAAAAGCATTCGTCTTAAGTAAACGGTATGGGTAAAGCATAGAAATCGGGTTAGGGTTAGGGTTAGGGTTAGGGTTAGGGTTAGGGTTAGGGTTAGGGTTAGGGTTAGGGTTAGGGTTAGGGTTAGGGTTAGGGTTAGGGTTAGGGTTAGCGTTAGGGTCTACGTACCCTCGTGCATGTTCTATTTCTTCATAACACTTCACTTCTCGCGAAGGCGGTCCCAGAATACTGCCGTCTATTCTAAGGGAGTTGGTCCGGAGGAAGGAATGAATGAACGGATGAATGGATGAATGGATGAATGGCTTAGCTCACCAGGCATGACGTCAACAGGAGCGGCCGCCGCGAGCAAGGCGAGGATGGTGTCCAGCTCTTTCATGGGCGACGCCACTAGCCGCTGCTGCTCCGCGTTCAGACGTTTCGACGGCCCGGTTCCTGTCGTTTCGATTCTTTTTATTGTCAAGGGCGATAAAAAAATGCGCGGCACGACAGCGAACCCCGCGGAAACGAGTGCAAGCGGATGGAGCAGAGCGATGCATACCCCGCGCTTGCTCGCATGTGGCTTGGGAACAGCAAAGCACAGCCGAGCCCTCGCAGTTCCTTGGCGTGTTTTGTGTGTTATGGTAGACAGGGCAACTCGCCGCAATCGAAATTCTAGTGAAAACGCTCTGTAGTCCTCTTGGTGGCACGAACAAGAAAGGACAACCCGGCGAAATGATTTCGAGTCCGCGGGGTGCTGTGCGAGCGTGATGGTATGGTATGGTATGGTATGGTATGGTATGGCGTGTTTGATGCCGGCCTGTTGTGGCTTGCTCCCGTTTTCGCCCTCTCCGAGACGTCGAAACGAATCAACGGCAGCAGGGGCAAAGGTGTTGCGAACCCGGACATCACTATCGCCTTGCGCAATTAACAGCTGGTGTGTCCGTCTCTCTCTCTCTCTCTCTCTCTCTCTCTCTCTCTCACCGCTAAGCAACTCCGCCGAGGGTGCCGCCACGCTGTCGCCGCACACGATCACCCGCCCAATCCTGCACCGCGACAATAGATACGTTAAACAGATATGAGGGATCGGGGGCCGCGGGAGGTTGCGAATCGAACCCCAACACACGAACGCATGACGAGCGGAGGGGAAATTACGGATAGGCAAGGCGTGGGGGCGCGCGGTGGAATGATTCGGGGCACCTCGCGGCACTTCCAAAAAAGGGCTACACGTCCTATCTCGTAAGTTGTGGGAAGGACACATCGTCGTCCGTACCGACTTGAATAGTCAAATCAAATCAAATCAAATCAAATCAAATCAAATCAAATCAAATCTAAACGAGTCGGGTCAGTCGAGCTACGCGACGAGAATACCGGAGTTCAAAAAATATATATACGCCGGGATATATATATATCGAGCCATGTGTCCAGCCTACTCTAACGAAGGATGGAGTTTACGTGTAGCGTTATATTTCATCAATCAGGGGTTAAGTCTGTTTCTATGGGGATTCGTGACTTTCCCCATCAAGGTTAGGAGATCAACAGGTGCTGGATACAGGTCAGAACGACTGCCTGTGTGCCGATAGCAGAAGCAGCAAACAACAGTAACCACTAAGCAATGGCGTCATCTCGTACAGTACACAAACACCACCTACTGTTGTTCCCCACCCCACGCACCTTTCACGACCACAAGCCACGCACACCACATTCATTATCGCCAAAAAACATAAAAAGCTCCTATCTTGCGCGCAACCGTAACTCCAAGAACCTCCGATATGCGCATCAAGGTTTCCCCAATATCGAACCAAAATAGTTTCTCAGCATTACGCTGATTGGCCCGTCCTGTTGTATTAGTAGCGCCTCGTATGTTCTCGTCATTGCTATTTAGGGTCCCCGCACCTTGCACTGGTTCCCTCTTGGTCCTCCACCCCCCCCAAGTACCCCGCGACAAAGTCCACCAGCAGCGACACCAGCAGTGGGTCGTGCCTTCCCCCGACCTGCAGCCCCGATACCAACAGCACGAACCCAGACGGCTGCTTGGCCGCCAGGGCAAGCCCGGACAGAAAAAATAACACCAGAACCGGAGGCAGCAGCAGCAGCAGCCGCAGAACCAGCAGCAGCAGAACCAGCAGCAGCAGAACCACAACGAGCAGAATAAGCACAGCCAAACCAGCACAGCCCAACCAGATGCAACAGCCAAAGCAGAAGAAGAAGCAGCAGCACAAGCAGCAGAAGAAGCAGCAGCAGATGCAGAAGAATCAGCAGAGTCAGCAGAAGAAGAAGCAGAAGAAGAAGCAGCCAACCAGAGGAAGAAGCAGAAGTAGGGAGCACAAGCGCCAGACGTTCACGTGTTGGTCCCCCAACACCCAAGTGGGGCAGGAGGGTGTGGTGCGCACATCGAGATACCGTACACACCCCACTCCAAACGCGGCGACAATTTGAACAAAACCAACAATGTTGTCGCCGGGGGGGGGCGTGTTATCTTGCGTATCGTACGCAGTACTACTGCTTGTCCGCCTGCCTGTCAAGCAATAGCAGGCAGAACTCACCTTCTTCGAAGGGGAGGGGGGGACGGGCGGAGGAATCCCGGCGGGGCACCAGTCATCGACCAACATTTCCCCGGACGCCGTGACCGTTCCCTTGACGGCGATCACCAGGCCTGGGGAGGGTAGGCGGGTCCGCAGAGTAGGAATTGAGAGGTAGGGGGGGGGGGGGGGCGTACTCATTTGTTGCTTGCCTTAGTCATTTGACCATTGACCCCCCCTCCCTTTCCAAAAGGAACAAAAGGGGGGGGGGGGGGGACCCCTGGGGGGGGCTGCCCCAATCCTTAAAACCTTTACCCCCCCCCCCCCCAAAACCGGGGGGGGAACCCCCCGGGTTTCCCCCGAACCGGGTCCCCCCTCCCCCAAGGGGAAACCCCCGGGGGGTTTCCGGGAAACCCCAAAAGGGGGGCCCCCCCCCCCCCAAGGGGGTTCCGGCCCTTTGGGTTTCTTCCCTGGGGTCGGGGGAACCCCCCCCTAGAACTAAAATTTTTTTTTTTTTTCCGGGGATTTTTCCTCCCAAAAAACCTAAAA